GGGAGATCCCAAAGCAGCCAGCCAGCGACTCGGAGAGTGAGGATGTTTCCAGACACAAACAAGAAATAGAGTCTGAGGACAGTGATGGGGAGGACAGGAAGGAGGAGGTGCAGAATGATTCTCATCATTCAGATAACAAACGCCTAAGGGAAGGATTTCAGGGCTCTGACAGTGAAGAGGAAGCTCCAAAGAGACGGAAGATATCGGACAGCAATGAAGAAGAGAAAGAGGAGGAGAAGACAGTGAAGAGGAAAACAGCTATCCTTTCTGACAGTGAGGATGAGAGTGAGAAAACACGTAAGGAACTCTAGTGTGAAAATAAAAACGTGGTGGGACAAGAAGTAGTGTTAGAATTGTTATTTTTATATGAAGAAGCATCTAAGATAAATGTGAACCCATAACGCAGATTTGGTTTTAGAGCACGGGTTTTTTTATATGAAGAAAGCATCAAAGATAAATGTGAAACCATAACGCAGATTTGGTTTTAGAGCACAGGGGCATTTGCAGAGGCTGTTGTTCTGACTGCATTCCTGTGGGGATGTGGATCTAATACTTTTGATTAATGAGTAGGTCTAATAGAAGTAAAAGACTGCATGACCTTACTTTACACTGACATCTGTTGTCGTATTGATTATGCCTGTTAGTCATTGCTCTCCTTTGTAGAAATGGCAATCATTTTGTGTAGGAAGGCTAGTCAGCTTTCCTCTTGTCCAAATCAAAGTGAGAGGATAGTTTGAGAGTCCTGGTGGTCACTTCTGTTTCTAGGACAGGTAGTAATGATCCTTTCTCTCAGCAGCTGCAAAAAAAGTACGAATCCTTTCTGATGTGGAAGAATCAGATAGTGATGCTGCCTCAGAGAAATCTGACAAGAGGAAGAAAACTGTTGTATCAGATAGTGAAGAAGAAGAAGAAAGAAAAGAGAATGCTGGGAAGAAAAAAGAAGAGAAAGATCTGTTTGGCAGTGACAGTGAATCTGGAAATGAACAAGAGTAAGTGCTTCTGGGCATGTGAATTCCTTCTGGGTTGCAGATAGGCTGAGCATGAATGGAGAATGGATGAATGCCAGCCAGAGGATGATTGTCCACCCTCATGGGTGGTGTGAAGAGGATGGTCAGTAGTAGGTGGCAGAATGAAAGGATCTCCATGTTTGCTGAAAATGTACTTTTTCACTGTTGCAGTTTAAATAGATAAATGTTACTGTTCCCTTCACAGGAACCTGATTGCAGATATATTTGGTGAATCTGGTGATGAGGAAGAAGAGGAATTTACAGTAAGTTGCTGCAGATGTCTCTTGTTCACTTGCTAGATACAATTTTCATGGGAAGGTACTCCAGAATGACTGTTGGGGTTTGAGCTCATGTTCAGGGGTGTGCTATATCAGGAGGGGAGTTTTATGTCTGCTGGACTCCCTAAGATAGTCTTTGGGTTAAAATAACAGTTAGAGCTCTTCTGGTGGGAGAGCTATTGGTGTGATGGTCCCAGGTGGAATTAGGGAGCCTTTGTTCCTCTTTCTTACAGATCTCTGAAGACTTTCTGAAGCTTTTTGAGTATCACTGTTAGGTGCCTGAGTAGATGCTCAGTCCATACACTGATCTGCATGCACTGTCTTTACCCATCAGGGTTTTAACCAGGAAGATCTGGAGGAAGAGAAAGGTGATGCAGACATGAAGGAGACAGCAGATGAATCTGACTCAGATGATAACATCAAAAGAGGGAAGCAGTAAGTCAGTGTGTTACATACTCCTTCTATCAATAGCAAATGCAATGTTTTAGTGAAAGGGCACCTCCAAAGACAGCTGGACTTCTTAGTTTAGAAAGGCACAGGACTGTATTTCTGCAAAAAGTCTATTTTTTATAAACTACAGTTGGAGGCCCAGTCTCAGCTTGTACAGTTCAGTCACTGGGCAGCCCATAGCAGATCACCTGTGGTGCTGCTTCAGAGGATGATATTTCATGGTTCACATCAAAACATGAGTGCAATTAATATCAAACAAGCATCTGACTCTGCTTTTAGCAGCTCAGCATGGGAGTGGTGGGTGCAAGGGAGAAGCTGTGGCAGGACTTGCCATCAGCACGTCTCCTCTTGCCTTTCTGTCTGCTCCAGCAGCACCAGGGCAGCATGTTGGAACACTAAGTCTTGGTCAGCTTCAGGGACAGCTTCAGCACCTTTTGAGCCCCATCTCCTACATGTGTGCCTGTCGTTAGTGCTTTCAGCAAGGTCCTGCAGATGTCTGAGGGCACCTCAGAGCCGTTGAAGCCTTTTGGTGGTTTCCCACTTTGTATACAGGGCCAGTGAGCCATAAAGCTTGCAGATATATTGGAGAGTCTTTGAAAGGTTATGCTAGAGAAATACAAAATTACTTCCTACAAAGACAGCAAGCTCAGCCCTCTCAGAGCATCAGCAGAGTCTTCTTGCATTGCAGCATGGACTTCATGTCAGACTTTGACATGATGCTGCAGAGGAAGAAGAGCATGAGCGGCAAGCGCCGCCGGAACCGCGACGGAGGGACCTTCATCAGTGATGCAGATGATGTGGTCAGTGCTATGATTGGGAAGATGAATGAAGCTGCTGAGGTGAGATTTTTAGGCTCCAAAGACACCTTAAAATCCAGTTCCATTCTGTGGGAGAAAAATCTCATGATCAGGCAAATACAGAAAGTTGTGTGGTACTCGAAAGGAGTAATCTGTACCCTATGGAAAAGGTCCAATATCTCAATAACTGCTTGACTGTTACTTCCCTGTTCTGAATGAAAGCATTTCTTCCATTGGCATACATTTGGATAAAATACTCATTTTAAACATTAAAATTAGTTAACTTGCTAAACTCTAGCCAGCTGAGATAACTGTCCTAAAAAAAGAGATATATGGGTGTTCTCTAAAGTACCTGAAGAAGTATCTCAAACACTGAGAAAGGGACTATGTTTTAATTTCATGATACAGATGCTAGCATACATAGTAACTCAGTGACATGTTCTCTCTCTAAAAAGTGAGAAGACCTTTCCTAAAATGTGTGACATGATGGTAGAGTGACAGAACTACAGGAGTTCAGCCTTGGCAGCCTTGTCTGTCCTGTGGAGGGAGTCATGTTTAATTTGTTCCTGTGTGAGGCTTACTGGGGTCTTGCCTTTTGCCAGGTGTCCTGTGCTGTAGTTTTGTCAGAGTAGCCATGAGTGAACAGCACTGTGAAACTCATTAAAACCAACTGGGGGGAATATACAGAACTTCAGAAAGAGGAAGTATGGACTAATCTTTTTCCTGTAAATGCTGTAAAGGATGAGAGTTGCTGATTTCTCCTGATTAACTGACCCTGGTTCTTCAACTCCCTGCAGGAGGATCGACAGCTCAATACACAAAAGAAACCAGCACTAAAGAAATTGACTTTGTTACCAACTGTAGTTATGCATCTTAAAAAGTGAGTGGTCACTCTCTGAGTTAATTATCTTGTGGAATATTGGGAATTTGGTAGATTTTATGGAGTGGCATTACAGTTGTACTGAGTATGCAGTGAAACACTTTTGTTCTTCCAAGTAAATGCTGGAGCTAGGTGGCCTCAGAAACCATAGTCTACATAATTTTACCTGTTAATTTAACATGAAACAAACTCAAATGTGTTATTATGCTGAGGGAACATAATGTCTTAAGATTTTTATGTCTTATATGAGTTTGTGGCTTCTCTTTAAACTTTCTAGGCAGGACCTCAAAGAAACTTTCATCGACAGTGGTGTTATGAGTGCCATCAAAGAGTGGCTTTCTCCCCTTCCAGACAGAAGTCTCCCAGCACTAAAGATACGAGAGGAGCTTCTGAAGATCCTGCAAGAGGTTAGAAAATGACTTCTAATCTCATCTGATTCTGGTTCTCCATGGTTTTACAAGGATGTGCTTTAGGAGAATGGCTGGTGGTGAATGTCCTGCAGCTGCTGCCAGTGGGCTGTGCAGTGAAGCACACAAAGAAGCAAGCTGCAAAATAGGAGTGTTTAAAAGTGGCATCGTTTTAATGAGTCTCACATTGCAGACAGGCTTTGTAGCTGAACAGAGTTTGGCTGCAGAACTTCAGGCACTTAATTGTTACAAAAAGTTTGCCTGTGTTCACAAGAAAGTGGCTAGCTCTGCCAGCAGCTGGCCAGCAGGCATTCTGAGAGTCCCAGGTGAACTAGAGACACCAAGTTCTCTCTCCTTTCTCAGGGAGTTACATGCTACAGCATTTCTAGATTCTGGATAGATCTAAAGTGCTCTTTCATTTAGCCCTCAGCGTCTCATTGTGATTTGGCACTTCAGTTTGTCTTTGCTGTGGTTATAAAATAAGCGTGGCATAGTCTCAGTAGTGAAGTTTTTCTTGCAGCAGCAGTAGGTGGCTTTGCCTGAAGCTCCAGCCATATTTCTCCTTGTAGATTCTGGATAGATCTAAAGTGCTCTTTCATTTAGCCCACATTCTCAGTGGCTCATACATTGTGATTGGGCACCTCATTTTGTCTTTGCTGTGGTCATAAAATAAGCGTGGCATAGTCTCAGTAGTGAAGTTTTTCTTGCAGCAGCAGTAGGTGGCTTTGCCTGAAGCTCCAGCCATATTTCTCCTTGCTAAGAAGTGGCAGCAGTGCTGCCTGTATTTAGCTGAGTTGGCCCTGCCTGCCTGTTGCAGGTTTGTGCAGAGTTCAGTCCAGAGTCACTTGCTGTGGATCCCTCAGTTTTGCTCTCTTGTTCTCCCTTCTCTTTTCCTGGCCTATTAAAGATGGGTTTTGGTGTTTTTGCAAAGTTCAGTGACACTATTAATATTCAGGCATAATTTCTTGATATTTTTCTGGCTTTTCCTTTACCCTGTAGCTGCCCAGTGTGAGTCAGGAGACCCTGAAGCACAGTGGCATTGGACGAGCTGTGATGTACCTCTACAAACACCCCAAAGAGTCGAGACCCAACAAGGATATGGCAGGGAAGCTAATCAGTATGTAAACCTCCCTTTGCCTGGCATCAGGGAGATTTCACTGACAATATAATTTCTCCATCACTCTTTCTGTTGTGTGGCTTTTGCTGTCATCTGTAGTGGCATCAATCCTGCAGTGTAGGAATTTCACTAATGTGTTTCATCTCTGTTTGTAGAGCTTTTAACAAACCCTGTTCCATTAACTTCTGCATGCACCTGTTCCTTTCATTTCTGTTCTAAACCAGAGGATGGTGTTTATTTTGCCCAAATTCTCTCTTGCCTGGTTGTCCAGGCTTCACCTATATGCTACAGAGGTGGGAAGGTGCTGCCAGAAGACTCTTTATTCTGTGTACTTGGGAGAAATCTTGGATGACTGAAAGTTTACCTCTTAGACAGCTGTAATCCATGTGTAGTGCACTCCAGCCTGAATGGCTGCAAACTGATAATAACCTGAGGTTCTTCAGGAACTATTTTGCATATTTCTAAAAGAGAATTCACTGTGGTGAGCAGTTGCTGACACTAAGTGTTCTAAGAGCTGAGAGAGATTCCAGAAGAGCAGACAAGAGCAAGGGACTTGTGGACAGTAAGACCTTTCATCTATCAAGGCTGGATTTGCCCCAAATATTAAAGAGCTCATAAATCACTTGTTGAAAGGAAGTATAAATACTTGCCATAAACTTTGGAAGCTGTATTTGGTCACTAGGATGGTTTGAAGATAAACTTCAGAGGCCTAGTGTTCATTAACCAAATATTTCTCTTTTTTTAATAGATGAGTGGTCTCGACCCATCTTTGGCCTTACCTCAAACTACAAAGGCATGACAAGAGAAGAGAGGGAACAGAGAGATTTGGAGCAGATGCCCCAGCGAAGGAGATTGAGCAGGTAGGAGTGGCAGGGGGAAATGTGAAATCTTGCTTTCTTTTCCATGCAGGAAAAGCAAAGTGATGTGTAAATATTAATGGAAATAAATGGAAAATAAGTTAGAACTTCTCTTTTCTCTTTTGCCACGCTTGACTGTCTTTTAAAAGTACTCTCTCTGTGTACAGGTGTGTATAAAATCTCATTTTTCTTGCAGCTCTGGTGGTCAGACTCCCCGCAGGGACCTGGAGAAAGTGTTAACTGGAGAGGAAAAGTAGGTTGGATTTGGAAACAATTTTGATTAGCAAAAAGTATCTTGTATTTTGATGATAGTAACAATTTGAGGTTTGAGAGGTGATGTTCATGCAGTGTGTTTCAGAGGTAGAGCATGACAATGGCTTGTACTTTTTTCTGTATAAGCTTTGTCTCTAGCAGGCCCATTTTTTTTCCTGCAGGGCACTTAGACCTGGAGACCCTGGGTTCTGTGCCCGTGCCAGGGTGCCCATGCCCTCCAACAAGGACTATGTGGTCAGGCCCAAGTGGAACGTGGAGATGGAGTCCTCCAGGGTAAGCACGGCCGTGGGGGGGTGGCTGAGTCTCTGGTTGACCTGAGAATCTGCCACCTAACTGCTCTTGTTGCTGTACAACACACTCATTCTTCTAAGTGTGTCTTCCAACTTGAGTAGCCAGTAAGTTCTGCTGTCAGGTGGGCTGTTCTAAAGTCAGCAACTTCAGCCCAGCTTTCCCCTGGGTATCACTACTTCTCTTGCTGTAAAGATTTTCATATTAACTGTTGTAGTGTTTCTCTCTAGGTTAAGAATCTGATTACAGGCCTCATTTTAGAGCATGTTGAATTCAAGTTGCAATTCAACAAGTGTCTCACTGATATTTTTATACCTCTCCTTGTTTTTTGTATCATAGTCTTCTGATAATAGTCCAGATTTGGAAAACATGAACAGTTCCAGTAGAGGCCTTTGCCTTGCGTTTATCTGCCTCATCCATCTACCTTATACAGCTTAATTTAAACAATGAAATGGTAGAACACATGTAAATGGAGGAAGTAATAATTGCTGTGCTTTCTGCTGTTCTCTTTCCTTCTGTGCATTAACTGAGCTGTTGTTTCTAGCCCGGGACTATTAAGAGAGGTATTAGTCGCTTGGAAAAGCACAAGAGGCGGTTTGCTGAACAGAAACGACTCAGCAAAGTGCATCGGGCCATCAAGTTCAGCATTGAAGGCAACAGGATGCCCCTGTAGCCATGGCACTGCCTGCCCCACTTGGAGAGGTATCCCTCCAGGGAGGGGTGACCAGTGCATGTGCTTCAGCGGTTGAGCAGCTGGCACACGCAGCAGAGGAGCGTGCACACCCTAACTTACACTGGAACAGTCTCCTTGTGTTCTCACGTCTGTACTGTGACCTAAAAGGGAACCTGTACAGGGGAAAATAGGCTGTAGCACATCAGATCTGCTGTGACAGCTGCCTCGACAGCTTCAGGGTACCCCAACAACGGCGTGCAGGGAAAAGACCTGTACCCGAAAGCAGCTCTGCAGCACCTGGGTGGGGCTGGAGTGCTGTGCTGACCTGAGGGGTTCTGCAGCTTTGTCTGAACCACCCCACAGGGATTCTGAGCCCTCAGCACAGGGCTCTGTGTCAGTGCACGCCGACGTCCATGGCTGATGTGTCCTGCTCCAAAGGAAGGTGTTTGTCATGTCTGCTCTTCAGGCAAGCTGAGTGGTGTGACACTCGAGGGGGGGTGACAGGAGGTAGAGCACGAGACCTCTGCAGACCATGCCCTGCTGGGGAAGAGGGGTGGGGGGACATCAGTCCATGACATACATCAACACAGGAATTATTTTGACAGTTCCTAGTCTGTTTCAGTTCTGTGGGCAGGGCTGCCACAAACTGGCAGTGGCAGGAAGAGGCCAGCACAAGCAGTAGATACCTGTTGAGTTTAAACTTCTTATTTATTCGTTTAAAAAAAAAAAAGATATTTTTTTAAAAATCACTATGAGATTCCAGTTATAATCTCAATGAATAGTGAAAAAGTTTTGAATAAAGTTTATTTAAAATCAGTATGTCAGGAGCACCTTCCTCAGTGATGGGAACAAGAGGTTCCGTTCCTAATAGATGTTTTTTTGTCAGATATTAAGTACTATGTTCTGGTTATCTCTGTTCTCCCAAACTTAAAAGGTGTAAAGCTTCCATCATTTGTTGTCCCTGTTGTCCAGTCAGTGGCCATTGCTTTCTAGGAGGTAGCAGCTATGGATTGGAAGGCCCTTGCTCTTTGTCTTTGGAGTTTCTTTACAGAATCACTGTATTTACTGTGGAAAATAACTGCTGCGTCTTCTCGGGCGTTCACACTAACTCCTCTAACACTGGTGTGGTCAGCTCAGGCACTCCTTGTGCTCCCTACACCCCCTTTGTCCTAATCACTCATCGGGGGGCTCGACAGCAGAGCTGGAGTGGATGCAGCTGCTCCAGCCCCCTCCCCTGCTGGCTCTGAGCCCCTTCCCCTGGCTGGGCTGAGCCC